AAAAAATATATATATATATATATATATATATATATATATATATATATATATATATATATATATATATATAAATGCATTACTTTTGCAATGTTTTCTTGTGCAATTACAATTTCACTCTCAACTTTAGTTTATGGGTAATATATATGGACGTTAGTACTTAACAATATTTTAGCCAAAAAAAAAATAATTAAAAGGTCACTATCTCCTTCATTTTTCCCAACATAATTCATCTTGCAAATAGTACTTTGATGACTATTTAAGCAATTGTTTAGCTTATTTTAATATTTTATTAACTTGATCATATTTTTTTTAAAATTATAATGGTAGATAATTTTTTTGTAATTAAAATCCATTATGGAGGCATGTTTACGGAGTTTGAATATGTTGGGGATTTGACTTACATTGAGTGAAATGTCTACCCTGAGTTGATGTCCTATGTTGAGATATTTGGGTTAATTAAAGAAATTAGATATCCAATTGCTAATGTGGTTGGTTATGTTGCTATATGATATTGAATTAATGATTACAACTAGAGTTGAATATTATAGTGAAGTTAAGAAGAAAAAAAAGATCAAAAAATGAACGAATTTCAAATGAAGAAATGAGGAAAAATAAAGATAACAAAATAAGGCACGTATAAGCTTTAAACATTTATACAATAGGGGTAAAAAGTTAAAAATTAGACAACACGAAAGTCGTATGTGATGTTAGCATATTGAAAAGGAATACAAATATGAGGGAGCATTTGCTACGTTTCGTAATTGAGGTGTGTATTTGTGACACAACCCATAATTTAGGGGTGCAGAGTGAATTTTGCACTATTTTTTATGATTTTATTTACATTATATTTTGTGGCAGCGGATATATATGCAAGCCCATTTTTTTATTAATTCAAACCTACATAAAGGGGTTCATTAGTTCAATCTCGTAAATTAATCTAATTTTATTACATCATGACCAACGATGACGAATATATCCTTATCAATAAATAATAATCAAATACAAACAAACCCTATTTTTAATTTGTTCAAGACCAAACAATCAAAAAACAAAAAAAAACAAAAAAGAAAAATAAAAAAAATTCACGACTACCGCCGCCATACCGCCGAGACACTGACCAACAAGACTTCCACCGCGCCGGCGACGACCAACGACCCACCCACCGCACCACCTCCACCACACCATCACCACCACTGCACCATCATCAACAAGCTAAGTAAGTCCTTTTTACTAAACTTTTTTTTGTCAATTTGAAAACATTAATCGAGCATCGATTCTTGATAAATATGCGTGGATGAATATTAATACATGCTTACTTCTTGTTGGGTTGCAATGCTTTAGCCGATTTTGGAAAAAAAAAATTGAGATTGAAATTAATTTTTTTTTTTGTGTGTTTTCGTTGGTTTTTCAAATCGGTTTACCCAGATCAATTTTGTGCACGAAAATCAGCGTCACAATGCCGATTTTTGTTAACCAAATCGGCGACACAACGTCGACTTTACAAGTCAAAATCGGCGTTGTAACGCCGTTTTTTTTTTTTTTTTTTTTTTTAAATTTCTTAATGATTTGTGTTTTTTATTTGATTCTTAATTTCATTAAGGGTAAATTAATATTTTATGTTGGATGTCTTTAACTTATAAAAAAATGGGCTTGCATATATCCGCCGCTTATTTTTTTCCTTTTCCGAAACAATAGAAAGAAAAGAAAGAAGAGAAAGAAAAATATAGGATAAATTACGAAAACCCCTCAATTTAGGCTAATTTATGAAATACCTATTCACCTATTAGTAACTACCAAACCTCCCCGATGTTTGTTTATGTCTTACATCGACCCCTTTACTGTGTGATTTTTCACCGGAATCTTTTTTATTTCATGGAATATTTTCCGTAAAATGTCAATTCTACCATTACAGACGTGGTATATCTTTATACTAAAAAGTTGTGAATGTATTATTTAAGAAGAACAAAGATTCCATATAAATGCCTCATTAAGGTAATTTTTGTCTTTAAAAATTAGCATAACGAAATGCCACGTCTGCAGGGGTAGAATCGACATTTTTTGGGAATATTCTTTCGAATCAAAAGGATTTCGTGCAAAATTACACCTAAAGGGGTTGACGTCAGACGCAAAACAAACATCATGGGAATTTTAGTAATTACGGATAGAGTGGGATGCTATTTTTTATAATTTAGCATAAATTTAGGGGGTTTACATAATTTATATAAAAATATGTGTTGTCATTTTGTTTCTTTCTCATGTGAAGGTGTGAATATGAGAATGTTGATTTGGACATATAGA